CCTCTTTGACGCCTCCAGTTAGGTGACGGTGTCGGATTGAGGGCAGCAACACTGAGCTCGTGAGTTCTGTGTCTACGCCATCTCGGTCGTCTTTCTTGGATGGCCTAGGATATCCTTGCGGTATTGTTGCAGTTAGTGCGGACTGGCTCATTTGTTACGAAGTCGGTGCACTTTACTCAAAGGATGGTCCTTAAGCGGTAGTAGTCGAATACCGCTAGTTTTATTTAATGTTCCTGTACTTATTCCAGCCTCTACATCAATCGATTACGAGAATCAAAGCAGAGAACTGGCAAATTCAACAGACCAGTAGTTACCTTAATAAGTGGTCGCTTACCTTGTAAAATAGAGGTCAGAGCCTTGTTTGGGAGAGAAGAGAGCGGTGATATGCCCAACTATCGACGTTGCGGATGTCGCCTTTGTTACCATCTCTTCCTGTTGACCTCGCATCCGGATGCTGACCTGTTTCAGCAATTGCCAGCGTCGCGATCGGGAGGGATGAATCACCCTCATCCTTTCTCGAGTTGGGTGGCGTGAGACGATGCTGGTCAGGAGGAAGAGACAATGTTCCGTGTAGGTTCGCGGAAGCAGGAAGTCGCCAACGCTACAGCCACCGAGACCGCGAGGGCCTAGCATTCAGCCCCATCAAGGGTATCGATCTTGTCCGCCTACGGCAAAGTCACCAGGAACACAAAGCCAGGAGCGTTCGTCTTTGGCAGTCGATTGTGATGGACTAGGCAGCCGTTACTTTGCACGCCTAAGCTTGCTGTCAGTGGATTAAAGACTAACAACCAAAATTTGCAACACTGTACCGCCTCGCTGAAAAATACCTTTTGTATACTATAGGAAGAACCAAAGCTTTGCCGGGTGACTCTGCTTTGGACAATTCCAGGGACACCGGTTTATTCATATACATTGTATCAATGCCGAGTTGATGATGAGCAAGCTTGGCTTCTGCAGCAACACCATTCAGATGGAAAAGCGCGCATTCGCAAAGCGTGCTCGACCAGATCCGTTCTCACGAGACGCGGATATGCGTATTTGTAATCGAATACATTCTTCGGGAAACAGAATTTATTGCTTTAATTTTCGATGCTGGTTCCCGAGGCCGTCGTCAGACGCAGAGTAAAGTAAAAGTGCCAAGAACGGCAAGCATCGTGAGAAAAAATCGATAATGACGCAGTATTTGCGCCAGCAGTCTGTCTCCGTGTGTCTCATCCCATTCCAGTTGCCTCGCTTCTCTTCCATTTCTGCCTAAAACTTTGTACGCGGCACCTAACTCAGTATACCGGTTGATGCTGTATTTATGAGGGGATGGCCCCCGAGAAATTCTCGGCATTTCTTGAACCGGTTTGCACCGACAGTAGGAATTTTCTTCCCGCAAGAAGGTATGCCCGGTATCTAGGGTATTCATGGCGCCTTGGGACAGGTGCTCTTGCCTTTTTTTACTGCCAATTGATGTTCATGACCACACAGAGACGGTTTTCCTGTCTGACCACAATAAATAGCCTCGCACACGTCACAGGGAATCTTGTAGGCATTGTTTTCTTATCCAGATAGTTAACCCTATCCTTGGGGTGCACCAACTGGGTGTGTAAAGTCGTCCTTGATTTATGTACCGCCTGAATTTGTATGTGTGAGACCACTTTCATGTACACTTTCTGTGGTGTCTATGCACTGCTGTTTTCAACTATAGTTCACTTTTCAAAACTATGATAACATTCTTAAACCAATCTTTCTCCCCCCCGTTGACGCGTTAGCCCGTTCGAGATGAAGCGGCGGAGTTGGCTGCACGAAATCATATCCAATTAATTCCCGCCAATACCGTGGAATCGGCGCCCGCCCCCAG